CCTTTAAAGAATATGTAAGTGTAAGATCAAATTCATCAAATGTATCAAGTTCTCAACTTATTCATTCAATAGAAGAATATTTTAATATAGAGGAATGTTAAGATATATGTAAATATATTTTGTTATTGTATTTTAGGTAAACATATATTTAATTTATAATTAGGTAACTATTAATATCAAGGATATATTTAGAAAACTAATTATAAATTAAATATATGCTTACATAAAATACAATAACAAAATATATTTACATATATCTTAACAAGGAAGACAAAGAGATTGATCCATATAATGTAAGTTTATCATCTTTCCTATGTGTTGTTATTATTTATTATTGTCTAATCTTTATTAAACAATTGATTATGTTTTCATTTTATTATTATAAGAATATATCAATTATGTGAGTCAAAATGTCAATGTTACTAGAAAGTTTGAGTTGGATTTGTACTTGATTGAAGTACCACTTAAGCCAAAGTATTTTCCAAAGTTAGATGTTTTAAGTATCGTCTAGTTTTTTTTTTTTTGGCAATGTTCAAGAATTAATTTGAACCTTGGTTACATATTATCATAATTTTAAATTATTTCTTTTCTGATATTTTATTTTTATTTTAGTAGATGAGGATAATGATGATGTTATAAAGGAAGAAGAAATTGTTCTAGATTTTTCAAGACATGATTCTAATGTTATTCATGGACAGGAAGAACAAATTCCACCAACTGCAAAAATGAATAGCTTGAACATTTTAATTTGTATTTTATAGTTATTTGCTAATTTTACTTATGTAGGTTGACACTTTGTTTTATAAGACTAAAATATTGTTTAAGAGTAGTTGAATAAGTTGGATGTTTAATTTATTTACTTAGTATCTTTATAATATCATTATGTAAAGGTTTATTTATTATTATTACTGTTCTTGTCTCTAAGTACGAAAATGTTTCAATCTCATGTTCATTAAATAGCATCATTATGATCAATTTCCTGTATGAGGTATTGTTCGTTTTGGAGTTCTAATCTGTTAGAGTTTTGTCCTTAAAAGATGTCTCGGTGAGATAAAAGAGGATGGTGTATATAAATTGTCATTAGCCTCGATTCCTAAGCAACGTGATACTCATGAACATATTGAAAACATAGTCCCTAGTCGAGGACTAAAAGGTATGAATGGAGTCGGACTTTCCTCTCAGCTCCATGGTGTTTAGTGCCAATGTTCTCGTTTAAGAATGAGAATGTCCTGATCTCATGTTCACTAGATAACATCGTTAGGGTCATGTACGAGGTATTATCTATTTTGGAGTTCTAGTCCGTCATGATTTTGTTTTTAAAAGACGTCTCAGTGGGTTAAAAGAAAAGAATGTATATAAACTACTTTTGACCTTGTTTCCTAAATGACGTGAGACTCATAAGCATCTATAATACTTACAATACAATTATATATATATATATATATATATATATATATATATGCTAATTAGAAGAAAAAAAATAAAAACAAAACAAAATAAACATGGGTTAATAAGTCAACCCACAAACCTTTAATAGATTGAGTAAAATTGTGAAATATGTGATCTACCAGTCCATCAACAATCAACCATATAAGGTGAGTTGACTCAATTTGACAGTTATATTTAACTCTTAAGATAAAATAAATTTATGTTTGTGTAATTTATATAATAATTTTAGTAATATAACTTAAATTTTAAAAATATACCTTTTTTATTTAAAAATTAATTTTATTTTTAATTAATTAGTTTTATATAAACATATTATAATTATTTTTAAAATTACCAATCATATCAAAATTAATCTATTAATTTATTGGTCTAACATAATATTGGATTATATTTTAAAATATAATTTAAGTCGGATGGGTGGTCTGTTTGTAAGAAATTATGTAATCATTAATATATTTTTTATAAAATAAATAAATAATTTTTATTTTATAAATATTAAAATATCTTATACATGACAAATATGGAGTATTTTTAAGTAGAGTATTTAAGGCCGAGATTGAACTTAGAAGTTAGAAAATATTTAGTGAGGGAAAGCAAACAAAAGTTGCTTTATTTCCTGTTATGTATGTTTGTTGAAAGGAACAGAAAGGAAGAATCCAAACCCACAGGAAGAGAGACTAAAATTGAGCTGGCAAATTTTGTACTAAATACTATAAAGAATGAAGAGGTTGGAGTTGGTGATGGAGGCATCTGAGGAGAAGCTAAAATGATTTTGGCAATTGCCACCGACACATCATGTGAAACTGTTCATTTCACACCCAACAATGCACAACCAACCATCCACCATCGTATCCTCTGCTCCATCCATTCCCTCTTTTCTATGTACATCCCCCATGCCATTCCTTGCCCTACCTACCACTTCCACTTCCACTGTTACTACTTTCAAAACATAATGATATAATTCAATTAATATATATAAATTAAAAAAAAAAACATATTTTTTAATTTAAAAATCGATTTCACAACAACTATAAAACTTTAATTCAAGAGTCACCGTTAAGATTAAGGAGTCAATTATCAATTAATGATGCTTTGTATGTTATGGACTAGTTGACAGGTTTGATATAAGTGATTGATAAGTTTGATCTTCTAATAATATCACAATGATTTGTTTTTCTATCACACCAATAAAATTTTTAATATTTTTAAAATAATTTTAAATGAGAAATAGTAGAATTTGGTATTATTTTTAATTTAAAATCTTAAATTAATATATTTGTAAATATTTCTTTATTATTGGAGTTAAATTATAATTTAAAGTCTCTCACTAATATTTTAGTAAATATCATGTTAAGTTTTATTATTATGTGTTGTGATTATTAGTGAATATCTTCCTAATTTTTTCCCCTTTATATAGAATACTTAAAATATCAATGTGAAATGTCTCTTTCCGAATAGTGCAACTGTTTCTTTATCTCGGGGAAGAAAGTACATGATAGTAAATTCAATTTTAGTTTACCTTAATTTTTATGTTCATGTACAGATAATATAATTTTTCCTTTTTTTCTGTTATCCAATATACATTTTTTTTATTTTCTATTTTATATATCTTCTAAGTCAACGGTGTAAACCAATCATTATCCAAAAGCTTTATGTTTAACGAAAAGCATTACCCAGTAGATCATTATTATGACTTTAATATCCATTAGACAGTAACCATTAACTGAATCCAACGGTTAATATTAATGAGGAGAAAAATAGTTTTCAAATTTTTTTGCTTGAGAAATTTTTGCAATTTCCAAATATAGGAAACAATATATATCAATAACTATTATTGTTATTATGGAGATATTCAAATCTTTTATTATATGACATTTGATGATGTACTATGTTATAAAAAAAAATGTTCACTCAAATTACAAAATATTTGTAGTATTTATAAAGCTTTGTCCATCACAAAGTTAAAAAAATTATAAGAAGTAGATGGTAAAAATCTTTCTCATAATTATTTTGGTAAAGACATTTATGTAGTGTAGATTTAATAATTATTTAATTAGTCATTATTATTTTAGGAGATATATTGTTATACGTCCATATAAATAAGAATTAGTGTTGACAAATCTTATTTCAATTAGAAATATGATAACATTATAATTTATAATTAAATATAATTCTCACCACACTAAATTAATTTTATATATTTAAGATATTTTAAGAATTAGATCATCAAGATAGAGTGATCATGAAGGATCTTGAAAATATCATTAGTAATGATCAATGGTAATTAGAAATTCATCGAAAACAACCAACATAATGATAAATTTACCTTAAATGCATCTATTGTAATAAAATAGATCCCACCAAATATTGTTGTTGGAATTAGTTGATATCCGAGCTACAATATTTTTTATCTTTAATTCTTTTAGACCTTCAAAATGGAGGAAACAAAGTCCGAATCATTGAGAATGAGATCAGATCCTTTTGTTATTCAATCTAAGGATGTTTTTAATGTAGGAATCATCTTCACATAGTTCAATTATAATATTTGATCACAATTGATGAATATGAAAAAGAAAAACTTTCCTTCCTTCATGACAAAATGAAACCGCTTATCAAATCAGTTGATGGATATGAAAAATGGTATTGACAAAAATAAAAAAATTGAAGAAATGGTTACTAATATCCATGACTCTAAATATTATGAAACATTACTTGTGTTTTCCTACCACTGCTTATATTTGGAGTGTTCTTTCAAAAACATTTTATGATGACAACGATGAGATGCAAGTGTTTATATTAAATAAAAAAACTTTTACCACCAAATAAGGTAGAATGTCTCTCTTAATATATTATGAAAAATTAATTAATAAAGATAAGTATATTTCAATTTATGATTGTTCAAGACGGTAATAAAGTCAACTCTTAAGATATTGTGACATTAGTTAACAATTATGGGTTAAACTAACAATTATTAGATCAATGTTAAACCACTCATTCTAGAGAAAAGAGAGGACATTCTAGAGAAAAGAGAGGACGATGAAAAAATTTTTACAAGATACGAAGATGTACAATGACAGAAATTTTTTCGATAATATGTTAAAAAATCTTACATAAATTAAATATATTATAATACATAGATAATAACAATTCTCATCTTAACTAAAAACAATTGTTACTGTATTAAATTGATTTTATAGAATTTGAAATAAATATCTTACCATTTATAAGATTAACAATTTTAACAACTAAGATTAACAATTTTGTGATGAATTGTTTGAACTTCTTCAAGTATTTGAAGTTCTTCAAGTACTTGCTCCCACAGTCTGACATTCAAATTCAAATAGGACGACTGACACAAGCCCCACCTAATATTATCATCACCTTAAAGATTTTTCAAGAACGAGAGAGAGAGAGAAACGAGGGTGGAGGGACCAAAGTGTAGCCACGTAATCAAAGCCATGGTGGTGTTTCTTGGAAGAAAGAACAAGTCATAGAATGCAATGAATGTGGCAAATTGCCAAGATCAACATGCAATGCTACGTCCATGTCGATCACACATACAAGGGACAAGTAACCATTTCAATGTTTGGGGTTAATAAAGCCAAAGGGTACGCAGATTCCGCACAATATGCACCAAAACCAAAACCAGTAGCCAGCTGTGTATTTCGAAGCAAAGCTATTGAACTAGATCAGGGTAGTAATAACTAATAAATTCTGGTTGTAATAATCTTCACCTACCCTTAACTTTTGTTTCTATAAATAGACCCACTCACTGCCTCAATCTCTCATTCACAAGGTTCATATCAGGCTCTCCTGTGTGCCATTCTATTCAATTACCATACCCTCTTCATCACAATCCTCATTTATACAAACACACAGTTCTTCTTCTCCCTCTGATCTCTATTCTACACTGTGAAACCAAGATGAAGGTAGCATTTGCTGCTGTGCTACTTCTGTGTCTTGTCCTCAGCTCCTCCTTCTTCCAAGTGTCAACAGCCAGTTCTGGTATGCCTTAAGCCCAACGAGCTCTAGTGTTACACAATTGGTACCTAATACCCTTTATTTTTAAGTTTTAATGATCATTAACGATTATAATGATAAGTTTAATTGCCATGCATTATCATCTATATAATGTCAATAATAGAATATAATACAATTTCTTGTGATGTTGTAAGAACTGTTTCTTATTTTAGATCCATTGTTTGAGGAGGTTGACATGATTTTCAGTTACAAGAAAGGTTTTTTATACAAATACTCGGTTTTTATTATAACTAAAAATTAGAATTTCTTAAAATAAACCCTACTATTATTCTTAAACTAAAGAATAAACCCTTGATTTTCTTTTAGAATTTCATTTGATTCTCTAAAATTAACCCTTTTTTTCCCCTAAATATATGTTGTTATCATCGTTAAAATATCTCGGCTAAATATCAAAATGAAAAAAAAAAATCAATTTGAAAAACTTAAAGGAGATCCTAAAAGATTTCGAATTTTTTAAGATTGACAAAATATTAATTATTAATATATTAGATTTTTTTGGGATTGATAAAATGTTAATTATTATTTATTAATTTTTGTTAAAAAAACTCAAATCAACTACCTAGTCTTCCTTCACTTTTACCAACCAGCCAATTTTATATCTTAAAAAATTTCACGTGTTTGAGTTTTCTATAATGTGTGAGACTAATGCATGCTGTGATACAAAGACTAGTGAATCCCATCAAAAATTATAATTTTTATAATAAAGTTAACGGTAAAGATTATGGTGAAAAAAAAATGTTATTATGTTTGGTTGAACAGATGGAAAATATTGAAAAAAAACACACACTAAAAAACTGAAACTTGTAATTTGCATAGGCTAAAACTTCGTTATAGAGCAGATTGACATGTATATTTTTTTTAAAATATTTAAATTAATAAATTATCTCTAAATTTTACATTATTTCTTCTAATTTATTTTTGACATTTATGTGATTTTTTTCAAAATTATTTAGTGTATTATTATTTATTAATTTTATATTATAATTAATGATAGATTTTATTTTAATTATTTTTTAATTTAATTTAAATTAATTATGATTAGAATTTTTTTTTACTTAGTCACGTAGATCTCATATTTATTATTCAAAACAAATATTAAAAATAAGTTGAGAAATTATAAAATTTAAATTTAAATTTATCAAATAAGAAAAAAAATTATATATTCAATTAAAATTATAATAATTAAATTCTCTTCAAAATATTATTCTATTTTATTTTTTATTTTTATAAATTAAATTCTAGAAATATATTAAATAATATATCTATTATATAACATGTCATGTTATTTATTTAAAATAATGATTATGCTGATGAATCCGCATAATTCATTAATTCACAGTTATACAAGTTAGAACCAAATATTCCGTCCATAAATCTTATGTAAATTAACCCGTTCTATTTTATTTTTTTGGGATGAATCAATACCTATCTTTCCATAGTTTCATCCCTAATTTAGATCAAAATCTATTTTGTATGTCCCTTTACGCTTAACCTTAATTAACACGTACTGTGGTTGGAATCAGCATTCTGCACCTCCAAGTGCGCGAGGAGGTGCGCTAAGGCCGGGATGAAGGACAGGTGCATGAAGTTCTGCGGAATCTGCTGCAGCAAGTGCAGGTGTGTGCCATCTGGGACTTATGGTAACAAGCACGAGTGTCCCTGTTACAGGGACTTGAAGAACTCCAAGGGCAAGGGAAAGTGCCCTTAATTTTTTTTTTACCATGCACCTCCAAACCTTGTATACCTGCCTGTATCTCCACCATAAGAGATATTAATCCACCATGGACCCTTCATAGCTGATTAAGTTTTGTTCATTGTGTTTGTGTATTATATAGAGAGAACTTTGGTGACTACAGTTGTATCTGGGAATAAAAGGGGGTCCTCTTTGTGCTCATGAATTTTGTCGGTCTCATTTATGCTCTGTGAACACTTAATAAAAGTGAATTCTCGTGATTGTATTTGTTTGTAAATTTTGAAATTTCACCTTCAAATTCGTGAGAAAAGTTTTTTTTTGGAATTAAAAGTATTACTTTAGATATGGAATACAAGTGAGAATTTGAAATTATATATTGGTGTTTCCTTGGCCCTTTATAAAAAAAAAAGCATAAGATTTATCTTTTAAATTATTTCAAAATCACTTTTTTTCTTATAATGTATTAGGTAATAGTTAAGTTCTCTTATTTGATAACGATGTGAGATAACAATTTAACAATTATATTATAATGATTGTTTCAGTTAAGTTAGTTAATTTAATAAATTATTATCAATATTATGTCTCTATAGTATTTAGGAGTGTAATTTGTATAATTCAATATAATTCTTTCTCATCGATACTTATTCTTAGATCTATTTTCGCTAATAGTGGTATAAGAGTTTCAAGATCCGAAAAAAAAAATGGTGATGGCAGAAACTAAGTTGTATGACAACATGTCAGTACTCGATAGCAAAAACTTAAATGAGTATGATAGTTGATGTATGAAGATGAAAGCAATTTTTGGTTTTTAATAAGTCTTAAACATAGTTCTGAATGGATATGAGGGACTACCAGAGAACCCCACTGAGGCATAAGGTGCAATATTTTGAGAGGAAAAGAAACGTGATTGCAAAACTATGTTTTACATTCATCAGTGTGTGGATGAAAGCAACTTTGAGAATATTTCATCGACGAAAGAAGCATGAGATATATTGGCGCACAGTTACGCAGGTGGTGCGACTTCAAACCTTGCATCGATAGTCTGAGTTATTGCAGATGGAGACGCAAGAAACCATCCAAGAATATTTTGCAAGATTGTTGTCTATTACAAACTTAATGAAGTATTATGGTGAAAGCCTGAAAGAATGAACGATGGTGGAGAAGGTGCTAAGAACCCTCGATGCTAGTTTCGACATAATTTTTGTAGTTATCAAAGAATCTAAGAATCTTGATTTGTTGAAACTTAATGGATTATAGGGATCATTGGAGGCTTACAAACAATGATTACGTGAGAGAGCAGAAGAAAGGTCCAACACAGAACATGCCTTTTTACCGAATGAAAACTAGAAGAATGAAGAAAATCAAGGAAAAGGAAAAACTTGAAATAATGGCGAACGAGACTTAGAAGAGAAACAAGAGAGCTCTTCACAATCGAGAGGTTGTAGAGGGAGAAACTCACAATAGAGAGGTGGTTAATCAGACTCTGGTACGAGTAAGAATAATGTACAGTGTTATAACTATTACAAGTATGATCATTATGTTGTTGACTGTTGGAGCAAAGAAGAAGAAGTGAATATTGCATAAAAAGAAAACTCGGAGGATGAAGTGCTAGTAATGGTGACCACGATGAAATCAGTGGAGACTTTTGGCGAATCTTCCTATTTAGATATTGGTTGTTCGAGTCACATGTCATTTCAGAAGAGTTGGTTCATCAATCTCAATGAGAGTGTTAAATCGAAAGTAAAATTTGTAGATAATTCGATAATAAGATGTGAATGAAAAGGAAGAATAATGATTAAAAGAAGATATGACAAATTTGCAATAATTTCATATGTTCTCTATGTTCCAACCATAAAGCATAATTTGTTGAGTATCGGTCAACTTCTTCAGAAATGACATTTGATCTGGAGAGAAGTAGTATCGATAGTCTTATACATCTTAAATCAATGTCCAAAAAAGAGAGTAAAGGAGAAAACACTAGAGGAAGTATGGTCTGGAAGAAAGCCAAATATAAAACACTTGAGAATATTTGGTTTAACTGCTTGGAGACATGTTCCAGATGTGAGGAAGAAGAAGATCGATGATAGAAGCCAGAAGTTAATTCTTGTAAGATATCATTAAATTGGTGCGTCTAAGTTGTATGATCCTATCAAGAAGAAGATCATCATCAATAAAGATATTGTTATTGATGAGAAAGATTGTTGGAAATGGTGTTCAATGGTGAAAAATCGAAGTGTTAGCTTTGATGACGGAGGTGATACAAAAATTGAAGGCAACGATCGACTTCTAGTATCGAAGGAAGTGAAAATCGACTGATATCAGAAATTGAACAAGACAAAAATCGATCAATTTTTGAAATTGAAGGGAGGAGAAATCGACCTACAAGATTGATTAGAACACTAGCTAGACATAGTGATTATGTAATTAATATTGGTGATACTGTCGCAGGATCTAGATAGATGATTGGAGAAACAGAGAATGAGAATGATCTTATACATCTAGCATTATATGCTGATGTTGAGCCTAAACCAGTTTGTTTTGAAGAAGCAATGTGGGTCCCAAGTGGACCGAAGTCATGAAAGAGGAGTTGTTATTGGCAATATTGAAGAATAAAACATGGGAATTAACTAATATATCAGATAATCAAAGATCAATTGGAATAGAATGGGTGTACAAGACAAAGTTAAAACTGGACGGAACAGTTGCGAGACATAAAGCCAGATTTGTGATGAAAGGACTTCTACACAGAGAAGGTTTAGACTACAAAGAAGTGTATGCATCCATTATCAGGATGGAAAATAAGAACAGTTGTAGGTCTCACCAACTATAAAGGGTGGCAAATGCATCAAATAGATATAAAATCTTATTTGTGAAAGGTGAATTGGAGGAAGAAGTTTATGTTACACAATCACCAAGGTTTGAAACAGGCCTCAATAGCCTGGAACACTAAAATAGATGGTTGTCTTCGATAATAAGGATTATTGAAGTGTGAAGTCGACTATGGGATTTACTCGAAGATCGAAGGAGATTGTGTTAACTATCTATTTATATGTCGATGATCTATTGATTACAGGTAGTAAAATTACTTCGATCGATAATTTTAAAAAGAGGATGCAAGATCAATTTGAGATGACGATCTAGGGATGATGGGAAAAAACATCATGAAGAACATCACCATCTTTATCCCCGAATTACCTACTAATAGAGACATAAGAGAAAAACAATCAACACAAGAATTTAATGTGGGAACTCCAAAACTGGAGAGAAAAAAACCATGACTAGTATCTAATGATAACCAGAGAGTAACATTATGTGAAAAATTTTACAACACATAAACAACTCTCTCATACACTCTCCAAAGTAAGAATTTAAACTAAATCTCTCAACACTCTACTATAAGAGTATAAGAAAAGTCAAATGCATACTTAAATTGTCTCTTTGACTGGGGTGAGAAACATCATGGACTTTGAGTCCATTATATAACTACTATCACCCACCTCATTGATTATCCAATGTAATGTAAGACTTTCAAGATATATTATTTTTATCAACCCAACAATCTCCACCATGATTAAAATAAACAAATGTTCCTTTTTATCTCCATTGCCTACACTAACAATCATTTATACTCCACCATAAAGAGTATACTCACTTGAAATTAAACAATTCCAAGAATTTTCTTTCACTGCACATCTGCATCAATGTCAACCAACGCTCGTGTATAATCACCACACACCCTGCATCAATATTAGTCAATGTCATATCTGCATCAATGCTAACCAATGCCCATGTATAATCACCACCTACTCTGTATCAATATTAGTCAATTCCCTTGCACAATTACCGCTAGCAAAAACTCACCATTTTCCATGACAACGCGGTTATACCATGAGGATACTTAACTCCATGTTACAAGTTTTTCCTTTCAACACCTTGTGTAATCCAAATTGTATCAGCACATATCTCTATGTCACATATGACAACACTTTCAAATGACATTACAACATCAGTAATCAAGGATTATTCTCTAACAAGGAATTAATCTTTTCTGATGTGGAAGATCAGACTAAGATGCAACCACATACCATACCAAAAATATCCTACTAAACCATAAGCTTTGATACCACTCTAATGGGGAAAAACATAATGACGAGCATCACCGTCTTTATCCCCGAGAATTACTATACTAATAGAGACATAAAAGAAAAACAATCAATACAAGAATATAATGTGGAAACTCCAAAATCGGAGAAAAATCACTACCGTTATCTAATGATAATCAAAGAATAACACTATGTGAAAAATTTTACAACAAATAGACAACTATCTCATGCCCTTTGACCCCAAATACACTCACACTCTCCAAAGTAAGAATTTAAACTAAACCTCTCAACACTCTACTACAAGAGTATAAAAAAATTCAAATACATGCTTAAAGTGCCTTTGACTAGGGTGAGAAACATCATCAACTTTGAGTCTATTATATAGCTACTATCATCCATTTTATTGTTTATCCAATGTGATGTGAGACTTTTCAATATGTATTATTTTCATCAACCCAACAAGGGAAGCTATCATATTTTCTAGGAATGGAATTCATCGAAGCCAAAAAAGACATTTTGATTCATCAAAGTATATATGTTAAAGAAGTGTTCAAGAAGTTTATAATGAGTGAGTGTAGTGCGATAATTATACCAGTCAAGACAAAGGTGAAACGACAAAGATGAAGATGGGAAGCCTGTAAATGCTACTGTTACAAACAAATGATTGGTTGCTTAAGATACTTATATTGTAGTAGACTGAATATTTGTTTTGGTGTTGGATTGCTGAGTAGATTTATGGAGAAATCCAAAATATCTCATCTTTCAACAACTAAGAGAGTTTTGAGGTATATTAAAGGGACGATAGATTTTGGTATTCTGTTACCAAATGCTACACATCAAAATGGAAAAGAGTTGGCTGGATATTATGATTCTGAATGGGTTGCAGATAAAGTTAGTTTCAGAAGCACATTA